TGAGCATCGCCTCACAGACTTCTTGTTTAATATGTGTGCAGAGCTAGAAAATTAAATACCCCTTCACAGTGTACAGAAACGAAATTTAAGATCCTACCATCTAGGGTATTGAACGCAGGCACGTTATATCTATACTTATATGAAAAATATATGCAAAGTAGGTCAAGCGTTCTCGTTGAAGAATGCAAATGTAATTTTCTAGAACTATACTGACTGCCTAACTAATTTTTTTTTAAAACCAAAAGCCAAACAATCATGGACAAAAGAATGATATCACTGGCATCGGAATCGGGCGGAAATGAAAAGATACACAAAGGGAAAGGGCCCCTTGTTTCTTGAACGTGTTTGTTAATAGCTTGCCTCGTTTTAGATATTGTTTATACGTAGAGCATACTCTTGCGTATCGAATCAACTGAGAAACATAAATTCCATATGCAGGTGATAAGGGTATCATTGCTACATAAGAAAAAGAAGTTGACGATTGAAAAGTTGAAGTCATTACATTTATCATAAAGCTTTGTTGTTAGGTAACTCTAGTGATGCGCTAGGTCTGATCTGTAAATTAGTAAAAATTGTTTAAACGGCAAGTATTACAGGTACTTTCAGTGGCACAAGGAGAATAAAAAAAGAATTGAGGCTCAGAAAATTGAAGATGAAAATGTTGCGGTCATTTGCAAGAATATTAATAATTATTTTTTGCACTACATTATATCAAATTGCACAACTTACTATCTCGTGAAAAGTACTCTTTCCCCCCCCCCCCCACCTCACTCTTTTCTCAGTATATTATTTTGCTATATTAAAATTTCCACTGACAATTTCCAGGATTTGGACAGTAAATTACCTTTTTTTTGCTTGTCTGATTTTTTGGGAAGTCCCCCCCCCCACTTTTGAAACCGTTGCTACGGGCCTGTATATAGTGAACACCTCTTATTGTATCCTTAACGCGACTTGTAAGGTACATGTATTTTCTTATTTGCTGTGCCTTTTTTTTGCTCTGAAAGTGTACTAAACCAACAGAAGACGTGTATATGGTATTGTAGTATACATGTTTAAATAATGCATGTAGTTAAATATATCACATTGAAAATTTTCACCCCAAGAAAACGATTGTCAACCTAGGCGCAGCCGAGGTTGAAAATGGTTTTCGAGGAGGTGACAATTTGTAATATAGATAATAAAACGGCAATAAACAGGCGGATAAAGGGTGAAGATTCGAGCTAACCCATTCCCTCAATAGAACCCCTTGTTTATATGTGCAAATATTTGTTACCCCCTCCCCATAAAATATAGGATTGTATATCCCCTTATGTTTGGGCTCTCTATATACGGGTCTGCGTACTGAAGATTTTTTTAAGCTGATGCTAAAAGATATTAGCTGTTTCAGGGAGTATGGTGCAAACTGCGAACATTCGAGATATATAGTGTATGCGTCCAAAACACCGAAATAGGAATTTGAACGTTGCTGGTTGTTGAATGATCTAAAAACAAAGTATGAAAAATTCTCTTCATTATTCCTAATAATTTAGATAGCATACGATTTGTAAAGCATTTCCACCATGAATTCCATATTATACAGATACACATTACTGATGGGCCATTAAATAAAATGATTGCACAGATTCAAGTTAAAAATAATCTTAAGAAAATCATGCTGTGTGAACATGGTATTATGGTGACATATTTCTGCCACTACTTGTCAGATGTTTATGTCGACTTGTCAGATATTTATGTCAACTTGTTGAATAATTATTGTCGACTTGTCAGATAATAATCATCAGGACCAGGAACTCGGTATCTTGTTATTAAAGTATGTTAAAGCCACTAACTGATATTTACTTGTCATCAAAATATCTGTCAAGTCAACATAATATTCTGACAAGTCGACATAATTGTCTTACAAGTCGACTTGTTAGATGTTACTAGTATGTCGACTTGTCAAATACTGATGTCGACTTGTAATATATTATGTCGACTTGTCAAAAAATTATGTTGACTTGTTAGATAATACGAGGGTCATTCAAAAAATTCGTAGAATTTTGGCATAACTTTTTTATTCAACATCTTATCATATCGAAATTTGGTACACATATTTTAGCAATAGCTTCAAATAAGTTGAATCAAAAAAATGGAATATATCTTGATATTTATCAAAATTATCAAAGATTTAAAGCAGGAAAAATGGGATCACGGAGCAGGGTCAAAATTGAGTTATCAACTAATCATGTACTTTATGATGTGTATAGTCTCTAATAAATGGTGCTTAAATGAACTAAAATTTAATTGATTAAATTTAGTATTAGTGCATTTCTTCATATGCTAAAATTTAATGTAATATATTAATTCGTTTAAAAGATATCAATATCTAAAGACAGACAGACTTCATTAAAAAGAAACGATGACATCGAAGGACGTAACGGAGCAGCGAGTAGAGAAGAAAAGTTGCTTTGCATTCAGGAAACCTTTTAAACAAACTCTGAAAATGTTGGATAACCAGGAAGTATATATAAATGACCCGTACAATTGTATATCCATGGAAAAGACAGTTTTTGAGTGGTAGAGATCTTGAATCTGACGTAAACGGTCTGCGAAGAACCAGATTTATTGTTAAAAATCTTGAAACATGATCTGTGCTTGTTACAACGCACTTTGAAAAATTACGCAGTTTGAAAAAAAAATTCAAATTGCGTTAAATTTGTAACCAAGTTAAAAAATTCTTTTCGAAGTGCGTTAATATCGACCATATTAACGAACTTAAAAAAAAGTGCATGGCTTGCAGGCCCGTAGCAACGGTTTCAAAAGGGGGGGGGGGGGCTCCCCCCCCCCAAAAAAAAAAATCAGACTTACCAAACAAAAGTGTGTGTGTGTGGGGGGGGGGGGGGGCAACTTCCCAGAATTATCTGACAAGTAAAAAAAAAGCTAATTTACTGTCCAAATCCTGGAAATTGCCAGTACTCGACCTTACAACATCAAAACGGGGAGGAGGGGGGGGGGGGCAACCAGCATCTACTGGAAATTTTACTATAGCAAAATACTATACTCAGAAAAAAGTGGGGGACCGGGCGGAAAAGAGTACTTTTCACGAGATAGAAATTTGTGCAATTTGATGTATAAGTCCCCCCCCCCCCCCGCCTGGCTTGGTCAATATTCTTGCAAAGGATCACTTCTAGGTAAATATATGTGTTGACCTATAGGGCCGATATTGGTTTCAGTCTTTAGAAAAAGCTTATCGATATCCGTTCTGGTCGCTGCATGACTTTACGCCACAAGCGTGTAGTTTCTCGTTTCTCATGTATCGCTTTAGTTGTAGTCAACTGCGTGTTCATATGACTCTACCTCGGTATTTACAGATACATCCTTTGTATGAGGGTCCTTTCTTGATGCCTGGGTAATGGCAACGGGACATAAAACCTTAACTGACCTTACCACATTCTTTTCTAATATGTAAACCTTCCTCCTGCATTTTTGGCATAAAATGTCGCCAATGCCCATAATTTTCCCGAGGAATGAACTGCATCTACTCTGCATAGCGCAGTATCTCTCCCACTGGCACAACAGTACTATTACCTAGAGATGTTCTTGAAAGACAAACGCAGCAATTTTTGCTCGGCATGATTTTTTTTCGTGACACCTGCAGTATCGAGTAACACAAAGTGAATGATTCGTGTCCTCGAACAAAGGGTGCTTACAGTAGGGTATAGTTCCGGTTGATTGCGTTTAGCTAAAGAGAATTTATGATCTTCATTTCCATAAATGTCTTTTATATCAACAGCAAACATATATTTAAATGAAGAAAATAGAAGTAAAATGCAAAAGCCTGTATAAAAAAAGAAATCAAATTCGTGTTTATACAGGTGAAAATTTGAAAAAAATAAAAGTATGCCAACAGGTGGATTCGAACCAGGACACTAAAAATGTTCATGCTGAAAGTCTGCAGTCTATCTTTCTGAGCTATACTGACTATTTTGACCAAAATCGTAGATATAAACCACTATGATAGAAATCGGTTTTCGCATTTTTTGTATTTTTTTTTTACGAATTTCGACCCTACGCAGGTGTGCCCCTAAAAAAATCTTGTTTTAAGGACATACACAACGTAGTTTGAACTTTATTGTCTTTTTCCCTGGAATTGAAGAGTTCCAACACTTAAAGGAATTGTGTGCTACATTTGTATGTCTATATATGCTGTTGTACACTTCTTCTATAACAAGTTTGGATAAACAAAACATCTAGAATATGTGTTTAGTAATTTTTGTGTATTTTTCTTTGAATTATACAAGAATTTTCATCATATTGATATATTTTCAAAACCCCTGGTATTGCATGCTGTTTTTTGTCTACGAACATCTGACGGCACTATAATCTTAAATTAAGAATATCTTGAAAAATTATCAGTAGGTAAGGTATGTTGCGTATGTCCTTAAGTTTGAAATCAAATATGTTTGGATGGAAATTATAAGACATATTTTGAAAATGTGATTTGAAATAGATTCTTTTAAAATTCCTTTTCCACCTACTTGTTTAACATTGAATTGCCGGAGAGGTACCCAGCAAAAATTCCGGAAATGAAAAAAAAAATAAATCTCGGAAATGAAAATAAAAATTGTCGGAAATGAAATTTAAAAATGTCGGGAATTCCCTGCAAAATTCCGGAAATGAAATGCAGCGTATCATAGTTCTGGGTTTTTGTTTGTTTGTTGTTATTTTTTAAGTACTGCTCCATGTAAGAGTCAGGCAGGTCCCATGCAGGGATAACACACATTAATTTTTGAATCTGTTGATTTCTTCTCAGTTGTCATTCATATTAAACCTCTTAAAATATTTGAATAAGAAAAGGTTCATTTCTTTTGTATATTTGTGTTATTTACATCCAAAGTATATTGATACATTTGGTTGAATTCCTATATAATATCACTAAAATTCATCCATTTTGTATCAATGAAACACAGAAAAACATTCTAAGATATACTTTTCCATGATAAAATATTTTCATCTTGGTATATGCTTTTATATAAAATTCTTGATTTTCTGTGTTTTCTACATGCTAACAAATATACAGCTTCCAAAGTTAAGCCCCTTCCTCCCATTTTAACTATAAGAGTTATCTCCCATTTCCCATAATGCAGCAGGGCATCAGTAATGGCAGCCTCCATTGGAAAATGTTCCATCAGTGTTTATACTCCAAGTTGTTGTTCTTTTCCACCTCTGCATCCATCAGAAATAAGTTTGATTAGATTAAAAGACTGCAAGAGAGGCATTGTATCACATCTGTTGAAAAATGGGATTCGATCTGGCATGAAAGGAGAGGCTGATGTGTTCAGTGAAGCAGACCTAATATGCAAGCGCGTGAGACTCTTCACTATTGAGGAAGCATTTACGGTATGTCCCTATCACAGAGACTTTCTTGGTGTACATTGGCGTCCCAAGACATCTTGTCAGTATCCTGACCACCAGGGAAATGCCAAGCCATATCGGAGTTTCAACTCTCTTGTGTCCAAGCGGATGGTTTCCGAGTTTGGTACTTTAGTGCCTATAGGTTCTGGTAAGTTAATTTATATTTCCTTAGAAAATTTGAATTGGAATTTAATCTGAATTAAAAAATGACACACGCTATAACAGTTTAATATTATGTGAAGGTTGTTTCCATGAGACAAAAGGGGGGGGGGGGGGTTATGTGTCATGCAGTGTTCTTACTATAAATTCCCATATTTTAGTTTCTGATTCAATGATGCAGTGGTAAAGAATTTTTTCTAAGGATGCTAAATGAAAAATTATTTATTGTTTGTTGAGGTATTTATCAAATGTGATAATATATCAGAAATCAGGGTTGTCAAATTCCATGTTTAAAACAATAACACAACAAAGTGTATTAAGTTAATGTTTACAAGTGTTACACATACATTCTTTTAAATAAATGACTATATACATGTACATGTAGATATGAATGTAGACAAATTGGTTGTCAATGATTTGATCAGCTCATGATGAGAATATTTACATGTCGAAAGCATTTTAGACCAAACTTAATACATGTAGTCCCATGTGCTACATGTTCAAAATGTACATGTATATAACAGTATATATAAACATTAAAATAATCATTGAAGTTGATTGCATGTTTAAAAAAAAATAGCAATGATAAATCTTTTATACAAAAATGACTTCTAGACATAGATTTATTTATCATTATTTAAAACTTGAGTATATAGAGATACATGCACTTAAAAACTTCTGTAAATTTCAATACTTCCCTTTTTAATTTTTAGGAATATGCAGAAAATGTCATGGAGATTATTTGAATCTTCCTTCATCAATAGGCATGATAGGAGAGGTAATGAATGCATCTTATTTTTCAAGAGGTCTTTCACATCTAGGAATGATTTACCTGTGCCTACTTGTGTATTTTCATTCATATTAATGATTAAGCAACCTCCTCCTTGTTGTATGAAATAAGTTGCTACATCCATAGTTGTATGGTTGTGATAGCAACCACACTACTTGAAATTATATTTAAAAATAACTAAATAGAACCAGTAATAATTACTTGAAAATAAGATTTTTTAAAGAATTACTTATATCATGAGTAATATTCTTGGTAATTAAAGCCCATGTTAGTAACATAACATAACACTGGGGTAAAAGATGCTTTTTATGAGATGTTTGTGAAGCCTTAAGTTCCATGAGTGAAGTAAAAATTACATTAATTCAGTTTTTACATAAATTATCTAAAGTCTATTTACTGATAAACTGTACAGTGGAAATTTTCAGTGCCAATTTCAACCAAACCCGCCACAAAGCATCCTTGGGTGAAGGGGACTCGAATTTGTTCAAAACAAGGGTCATGCCCTTTTTCAAGGGGAGATAATTAAGAAATAGTGAAAATTTGGTGGCATGTTTTAGAAATCTTCTCAAGAACCACTGGGTCAGGAAAGATGAAACTAATTTGGAAGCATCCTCAGGTAATGTAGATTTAAATTTGTTCAAATCATGACCCCCGGGGATAGGGTGGGGCCACAATGGACGATCAAAGTTTTACATAGGAATATACAGGAAAAATCTTTCAAAATCTTCTTCTCAAGAACAACAAAGCCATGATTGGTCATATTTATATGGAAGCATCCTCAGGTAGTGTAGATTTAAGTTTGTTTAAACCTTGACCCCCAGGGGGTATAATGGGGTCATAATAGGGGATAAAATTTAAATATATAAGAAAAAATCTTTTAAAAATCTTCTGCTCAAAAACACAAGAACAGCAAAGCCATTAGTTATGTAATATGGAAGTATCTAGAGGTAGTGTAAAATTCAAGACCCCCCCCCCCACCTCCCCCGTGATGTGGCCAGTGTTTTTCTGTGTACATTTCTATACACAAAAATGGCTAACAAATCTATTTCATAATTGGCTAAGTAAACAACACAGCAAAATAATGAAAATATTTAGGATTATTTTCAAAATTGTCTTTCAACAAATATGTAATTTTTTTGATATGATTTTATTTTTATAATATTTCCATCATTTCTATAATCCTCATAGGCTCAGGCTGAAACAGATATTGAAGCATGGAGTTGTCGACTCCGGACAAGAAAGACAGAGACTGTTATATATGAAGTAAGTGTTGAACAATTTGAATATCATATGAAAGCCAGAAATCTGAAGAAATATTGTAATTTTGCATCTGTAAAAAGTAAAAACATTTAGTTTAAGGAAAATCAAGTCTGGGAGAAAAAAATATTTCAGCTCTATAGACTTGTCTTTTGAAAAGCAAGATGATCATAATGTGGTAACGCCTATTACTCAGTTTATTTATCTTTTAAAAAATTATCATTTAATACTTAAGTGTATATACTCTAAATTAATTGTTTGATTGATAACTGCCAGGTATGATTAGACTACCATCATGCATAGGGGTATCAAGTTTTAGCATACAATTTTTATTGTGGAAAATATCGTTCAAGTTTTTCTTCTCTGAAACAGTACTGTAAACATAAAACTAGAATATGAAAAGTATAGCCATACATTTACATTATTTTGAAAGAGCTAAAGGCATCTTTTAAAACTATAAATATCATGACAATGAAAACGCAGCCTACTCCCTACCAGGGACAACCATTTGAAGAGGTCGGGGTTTTATACCCAAATGAGCTGTGTAGCTCCTATGTCAAACAAATATCACAAAACTGAAACTTTGTCTTCAAAATACTCAGATAATATGTTCAAATACATATACTTTGTTATAGTAGTATGTAAAATTTATATGATATGTTTAATTTTGTAACAGAGTGATAGTCAAAGCAGTGCAGTTTGTAGTCAAGGTTCTAATTGGAGTCAGGAAGAGGAAGCTCTACCCCTTTATGAAATTCAGTTGACTGATGTGAACACAGCTATTAACATCCTAAGCCAGGGTCAAATTAGTCCATTGCATTCAAGACTCAATACAGACTTGATGGATACTAAAGAACGAACTTTAAGGTGAACGAATCACTTCAATTTATGAAATTCTGATTACTTTTTTCATGCATGAACAGTGAATTTAATATATTAGTTCTTTCAAAAAACTTGCACGAGGAAGCATCCTTACATATGATCAACGTATTGCAAAAACCACCCTTATACGCATTGTGATGTTATCGGAAAAAGAGCGCTAAAATTGACGTCATAAATGTTTGCCTTATTTTGCAAATCATTTGCACTGTGAAGACTCATTATTTATTAAGGTCTTTTTTTTTTTTTATAAATTAGATGTCTAGACTAGACAACGTACTGAACAGTCTTGAGTGTAATTACTAAAGCCTACTGTTTAGTATTTTTGAAAAAAAAATACTGTAAAAGCAGGAATCTTTGTTGGGGGTTAAAATTCATTTATTTTGTTGTTATCAATTATCAACAAAATTAAATACCACAAAAAATTTTATTATAGTAACCTCTCATTTTGATTTTTAGCTCATCTCAACGAAGTTGAGATGAGCTTATGCTATACCCCCCCGGCGTCGGTGTCAGTGTTAGCATCGGCGTCCTGGTTAAAGTTTTAGGAGCAAGTCCATTCCCATTTTCTTGATTAGTAAACAGGATAAATGTTTTTTGAACAGCTCTATTTCCAAGTAATTATAAGATGTCCTTAAACCAAACTTGCATGGATATTGATCTTGGGATGTACACTAACTAAAAAAAGAATATGATGTGAAATTTGCCTTACTTAAAGATAACATTCGTCGAAGTGAGCTTCGTAATCTTTGATTACCTATGTTTTTCTTGTAATGTATGGCAGAAAATTCAAAACAACCGAGTTATTAGTTTGTAGACACTACTTTTAAGTGTAAGGAGGTGGATAAAATATACATGTACATGTTGGTTAAAGAATATGTCTAGAATTAGGGAATGAAAGGTAGTTGATTGACCAATGCCCGGAAAGCAGAGAAATTCTCCTGAACTGTGCACAGAAAATCTTGCACCGTAAATTGCACCATATTTGTATTAGGGGATCTGTAGCATTATGGTTAAAGACAGGCATAAAAAACCATAACGCTTCAGTTCTGCAGCTAATGTTATGTCATCTAGCTACCATAGAATGCGAGAACAAAAAAATTAATGACGTTTTTCAATAAAATACAGTGTCATGACATACAATTTGTATTTTTGATTTTAAATCTTTGACTTGTTTATAGTTTATAAACAATGACATTTAGTAGACTAATTAGGAGATAGGTTTAGTAGATAAATTATATTACATTTTAAAGAGAAAAAATTGTCTATCAGGATCACTAAACACCTAAAAATGGAAAAAAATTTGACTTCAGGTTGGTTTTTGCTTGACTGTCATCATATCCCATAGGTAAAGACTGTTAAAATTGTTGCCCCAGTGTCAGAATTTAACAAAGGATTATACTAAAAATGCGTTTTTAAACTTTTCATGGTGTGTGCTTCTGTTCTGAAATTAAATAAAAGCATCATTCAATTGCTCAAATTGTGCCCCCTCCGAGGAAAGGATTAGACTTTAACATGTGTACTAGAAATTTAAATAGGCCTATATGGGAGGATGTCTTAGCTATCCTAGTATAGTGTGGACTAAAATTTGTTCTTATATCTTTAGTGACTGTTGTAAGTCTTGTTTCCATTTCATTAGCCTTTTATTTATTATAACCACCCTTCCAACAATGTTGATGGTATATAGAAAAATCACCTTGTCTGTGTGTCAGTCTCCGCAATATTGACTGTATAACTTTGTAATATAAATCACTGGCAGCTTGTACTTAATACAAAGATTGATTATAACCCGAGGGTGTGTTGTGACCTTGACTCAAGATAATTCTTGCAAATTCAAGGTCACTGACAAAAAAGTATAAAATTCTTGTTTAATCTACAACTTCTTTATACAGAACATTGATATTTCATACATTTAACAAAGATTGCTTATGACCTGGAAATGTGTCAAGAACTTGAACCAAGGTCATCTGATCAAGTTCAAGGTCATTCAATTCCTGTTTTCACCATATCTTGTATAAATGGAGAACATTAGAGGGATATCTTTTCAAAAATATTGCATAAAGGGGGAATTAGTTTGTGAGCTCACTCAGACCTCTGGTTTCATATTTGTTCAAAGTTGTGCTCAGGTGATACTGTGACCCAAAGGCCTCATGCTTTGGACTGGAATATAATTTTGGTCTACTTCATGTCATATTCAGTAGGTGTTTACTTTTCTAACAGCAGAAGAAAGAGTATCTTAAATATATCTTTCTAATTTTTAGATACTACAAAAGGAAAGCACAGGAGACTTGTACAGCTCTACTAGATGCAATTGCTCCTCATCAAGGAGAGAGACTTAAGAAGATAGCATTACCAAATTCAGAAGCTACTGATGATGACCTTTTCCATGTTGTTGGCGAAATGTACCACAATATCAAGGATGTGAATGTGAAATGTCAACTTTTGTCTCTAGTAGTAAACAGATGTTCAAAGGCTGAACTGTTGACAAAATTTCCAGAGGTTACAAAACATCAGATAGATAAAGCTAGGAGACCTGCTTTCGTAAATGGTCCTGGATCAGGTGTTCAGCAAACAGTATCTTCTCAACACAGACAGAGAATCAATTTTGCAAAGTTACAGCATGCAGTAGAATTTTTCAGTGATCCATCATTCAACCGGATTTCATCATACACTACAAGGAACCTAAAGCTAGATTCTGGAGACATTTTAGTAATTCCTGATGTAGTTAGGACTATGATCCATTCAAATTTGATCAAACTTTACAACACATACTGCGCCAGTAATGACTTTGAGCCTCTTAGTCAGTCAACTCTATATGAAGTCCTAAATGCATGTAGTGCATCAAAACGGAAGTGTCTGAAAGGACTTGACAACATTGCTGTTGATGGATCTTCTGCTTTTGACAGTCTGAGTAGCTTAGTTGATAAACTTGATGAACCTCAACAATGGAAAAAAGAAATGAAGGAAAAGCTGTTCAATGCTCGACTGTACTTAAAGACTGACTACAAACTCCACATCAAGCGAGAAGATGAATGTGCTTTCCACTGCTTACAATATGCACTGAGTGACCCCAAATCAAGCCATCTTAGTGTTTCATGTGACCATGAGCATAATAAGATCTGCAGCAGGTGTAACATATTTGGTGAAGCTGCCACAGAGATCCGAAAGGTCATCATAAAGACTCCATCAGAAAAGCAAGAGGTACTATTGCAAGATTTGGAAATGTCCGTAACACAGGTAGAGGACTGGAGATCTCATATTATAAGAACTGTGAATCAAGATGATGGAAGAGTAGACATTCTGCATGACTTGAAGAACAATGAAGTTTTAGTGATTCTAGACTGGGCGATGAAATATTTGCCACAGATGTACAGTGAGAAAATGAAAGACTTCTTTGGACAGAAAGGTGTACACTGGCATGTGTGTGTTGCAGTTTTCAAGGAAAAAAATGGAAGTTTAGTGGTAAGCTAATATATAAATAATATACAGTTCAACTACAGTTTCTCGGAAGTTGATTTCTTGAATATCATGGATATCTCAAAGTGATTCAATCAAATCCCTAATAGATTACTTATTATTCAAGTATTTTATCCTTGATACATGCATCATCTCAAAGATTTTCTGTAGTCCCAAGGAGTTCAAGATAAGAACATTTGACTGTACACATATAAAAATTTATTATGGGGTATAGATTTATCAATTGTTTGTCTGTTGTATTATGCATACTCCATGTGTATGGCATGTGAAAGTTTTGGTATTTAAAATTAGAAATAAAATGAAGTTGCTTTACAGTGTGTGAGCGTATGCCTCAAGCAATTTTACTCTTTTGTAGCACAAGACTTTTACTCACATAATGGATTATGTGAAGCAGGACTTCTTTGCTGTTCTTTCATTACTAGAACATACACTAGTAACTATTAAACAACAGCTGCCACACATTACAGAAGCTTACCTTAGATCAGACAACGCGGGGTGCTACCATTGTGGGCAGACATGGCTCTCCATACCATCATTGTCAGAAAGAACAGGTAATCTTTGTCAATTCTGCACAATGCATACCTTGTAAGCATCTGAAATTGTTGATGCTTTGGAATTTGTTTTCTCTTTAATAAATGGGTTTTCTTTGTCTAGAACATTATCATAAATTATACTTCTTAAGGGATTGATTTGCTCATTCTCCTCATGTACATTCTGTTTTTATAGTATTCATAATATATGCATAAAAATGTTTTTCTGAATTTTTTTTTTCAATTGAAACAAAGTTTGAATTTCCATTAGGTAGCTATGTTGCGTCTGTTTGAAAATTATGCTAGCAAAAGTAAAAATGCTCTTGAAAAAAGCTTCCTTGAGAATATATGTATGCTGTAGTGAAAAATATGTTTTCATCAAATGAAAATACTATTGTATGTATAATGACTATTCTCAATTTTTCAGGAATTACTGTGAAGCGTTTTGACTACAGTGAAGCACAGAGTGGAAAAAGTTACTGTGATGCAAAAATTGCTCACATGAGATCAAAGATGAGGATCTTTTCTTCAGAGGGTCATAATATAAGTACAGCTATCCAGATGAAGGAAGCAATTGAGAGTGGTGCAGGAGTCAAGGGAACGTGCATTGCTGTTGTTGATGTTGATGTCACTAAACAAACACTCACAAAGCATTCTTGGAAGGGAGTAAGCTTCATATCAAACATAGAATTCACAGCCGCAGGATTAAGAACATGGAAAGCATACAGAATCGGAGAGGGGTGCTTCAAAGATATGGAAAGTCTTCAGAAACTAGGTCAAGCGCAATCTACTACCAGTTTAAAGATCATAAGTGACTTCAACCACCCTGAAGAACATGGCCAAATTCATCTTAAGACACCAGAGAATCAACCAGGATCACATGATGATCAATCTGTTACCTTATCAAATGATGATGATGATGGTGTTGATGATGAACCTTCTGGAATGAACTCTAAGTTATTCTTTTGTCCTGAATATGGATGTTTAAAGTCATATCAGACTTTTGAGAATCTGAATGAGCATCTACTCACTGGAAATCATGTGTTTAAAAAAATGTCAGAATCTTCAGGTGACAAAGCAAAGAAACTATGGGCAGAAAAATGTGACACTGTGTTGGCAGCTACCCGCCCTAGAGTTGAACACGAGTCAGAGGCTTTAGACAGTGTTGTAGATTTGCCAGGTCTAGGATGGGCTTTGAAGAAAGAAAAAAGATACTGCAGATTCTCTCAAAAAGTGAAGAATTTCTTGACCGAGTTATTCAAGAAAGGAGAAGAAAGTGGTAGAAAGGAGAATCCCACAGCTGTTGCTCTGGAAATGCAAACTATGATGGAAGATGGAAGAAGGAAGTTTTCTCCTTGTGAATGGTTACAGCCAAGTCAGATTTCTTCATTTTTTTCTCGACTTGCAATAAATTCCAACCAATCAAATGTACTTTGTGTGGACACATGTGAGTTAGTTTCAAGTGACAGTGATTTGTTAGCTGATTTAGGTGAACTTCAAAATGAGGAACTTTTTCAAAGCATCAGTGATTGACATAAACAGATTACAGGTAGTCCACTCAAGTATTTCTGCATTTTGAATACTACTTACTAAGACAGGCAGATAAGATCTTCTGGCAATCTTAGAAATGCAATGTATTTGATTTTATGTTTGCAGTGTTACTGTTATTTCAGCTTTTACAATGATATTTTGATGCATCACTATGACTATTGCCAATTTTTAAAGTATGAAGTGTTTCTCTTGTCCATATTCTGCCTAGCTGTCTTTCTGTCCATCAAATGCACAATTTGTTTAGCTCATTTTTTAGGAAACTATTGAAAGTATTTTTATCAAACTTCATCTGGTGATACATATTGGTGAGTGCTATCATCTGCATTAAAATTGTTTGACCTTAACCTTCCTATGACCTTGACATTGCCATCATTTTATTTTGTATTTATCTCATTTTCAAAGAAACTATTCAAGGTATTTTTATATAGACATATATACAGATGCATATTGGTGAGAAATATTCAACTTTATAAAAACATATAATTTGACCTTATATTTTTAAATTTTGCATATAAATCAGTTTTAACAAAACTGTTGAAGGTAATTTTATCTAAACACATGCATTGATACATATTTGTGACAACTTATATCAACTGTGTCAATCTTTTTTTTTATGTTGATCTTCCATATGACCTTTTACTTTAATTACACTGTTTAAAACTCGGTTTTAGAGAAACCATCCAAGGTATTTTATTCAATTTAATTCACTAATACTTATCAACTGTGTCATAATTTTCTAATATTAACCTTCCCTGTGACCTTGACCTCACTGTCCTCATTTTTCCTTTTTCCTAATCTTTTAACAAAAAGCAATGTAGATTCCTTTTTATTTTATATAATTAGTGATTACTGGATGTTCTATGGACATATTTCTAGTTATATGCAATCATAACTCCTCCTGAATTAAGAAAAATCCCCTTGTTTTAGCTCATCTGATTTGAAAGCTCAGCAATGCTTTTCTGATCATTTTTTTTTGGCATGTCATCTCTATATCATGTAAATATGCAAAGATTCCTTAGTCCTATTGATTCATTTTTTTTTTAATTCAAATTGTAGATCCTGCAGTTAGGTGGGGCTAAAATTGAAATGTTAAAAATAAATATGGATTTTACATCACAATGTTACAAATGCACTGGACTTTGGTTTGTCTTAATGTTTGTTTTAATCTTCAACAATTGTTACCATGGCAACGGGAAATTTCACTTCTTTATGATTTAATATTTTATTTTTCAATAATTTGTATAATTTCTTTCTACATTAAATGGAATCATCAATCAAAAAAAAAATAGTTTTAATGGAATAGTACATCATATGCATAGTGTTTGATTTCAGGAATTTTTGAAATATGTTAAAAAACGCATTTTTTCGAATTGTTCGATTTATTTAAAAAATGGAAACGCAGAATTTTTATTTGATAATTCACATCTCTTGAGGATACAGTTTCTGAATTCATAAATGAATTTATGCAATCTGTATGTTTTTTCATGAAATATAACTTTGAAATAATCAAAATTTAGGTTTTTTATTGAATTTCTCCACTGGGCTATTTATAGATTTCAAGATTCAGTATTACTGAAAAATATTTTTAAAAAATAAAACTTGATTTGTTAGAACTAGTAGACTTTATATTATAGTTTCAGATAGTAACAAGACTTTTTGGATAGAAATTCCTGTTTGTGATGTACTTTTATATTAAAATACACAAAAAATGTAATTTTTATGCATAATTGTTCCTTGTTTCATGCAACAATGATATTCAGTTGGTTACCATAGCAACAGTGACCAATGAAAAAAAATGTTTTGTATAAAGCTCAAGTCTGTGCACATACATTACATATAAATCATCAAATATATTTTTCATCATGCACATGTGCCACCCTCTGCCTGAATCTTACATGGAGCAGTACTTAAATTAATTTACCGTTTAGATTTACTTTTGAGTTCGTACGAAAAATTAAACGTGATGTGCAGTCATGATTATACATGTACATTTATTTACTGGGTTTAACTGGGCAACATGTAATTTGTTGGACCTATGACAAGGCCTAAACTGTTTGTCTGAGGCCGTTAGGCCGATGGCAAACCGAGAATCGTTTACTTTATATTATGATGATTTTTGTTTCCTTCCACGTTTGCGACAATAATGATATCGGGTCAATGCCGAAACTATCAGGCATCTACTACTTGGTTAACCCATATGATGTTGACGCTAAAAAACGTCAAAGCGGTCCAATATCTAATTGGCCGGTCCAACATCTCATCAAGCGGTGCTTAATGAAAAATTTGGGACCACACAGCGAAACTTACGAAATGTTAAGACTTTTAAGGTATAGCTAGATTTATAAAGGGAGCGATTTTAAGGATTTAAAATTAACAACAATAATGTCTATGTTATCCATGAAAGGTCCTCATGCGCGATATAAGTGTGATTACCTACAGAAAATGAATTAGTAAAATATCCCCGCTGAACGATACCGATAATCAAACAAATATTGATTATTTCTCGTTTGTTGTAGTTAAACAAATATATACATATGTATTTGCATTACATGCATTGATTAATTAACTCTACCCGTTATTCTTTCAAAATTAAATTCTTTCCACCCTCAAAAATAAATACACCCCCCCCCCCACCATCCCATTAAATCACGAAGCATATCGTAACTTGGTAAGATGCATGTAATATGCAGGAAAGGCGAGTTGTCCATGAGAAGACACCCCCCCCCCCTTTGCGATTTTTTTTGTTTGCGCATTATCTTATGTATAAAGAAGCTGGAGTTGAGCTGGATTCTTTGAATGTGAGTATAAACCCTCCCCCACCCCCACCTCCCGAAAAATTCTCCTATTGATTCTATTGGCTGATAGTAATTGTATAAGAGTAACACCATTGAAACTGTATATCAGAGAAAATGTTATGAATATATCAAAACACTATGTCAAAGAAGATGGGCGTGTTTGGCGTGTGATCTTGCTGGTATATTTAAAATGTCTACGATTTGGTCGGCTGACCACAGCTGGACATAGTTTACAAAGTTACGCACATGGGAAAATGTTAGATTGAGTTTGAAATGCTTTGTAAGATTTAATACATCAGTCCGCTTATCTTAATAATTACTACCTATACATGTATAACTTAGTAACGCTTCATATAAATAATAAACACCTAAATATAGGGTATATTTAAATGCAATTACAAGTACATGTGTATGTTAAAGTATCAGTAGGTTGGATGAATTGCTTTCGCTTTCGGTACAACAGAACCAGAATTTATTTTAAAATAAATCATTACATAAAATTAAACTGACTAAAGAATTGATTGTTTGTACCAAAAAAAAAAATATTAACGCTCCAAGCGAGGATCGAACCAAAAATATTTCTTTTTCATTGTACTGGACGGATAATGCATACTACTGAGCTATCAGCGTTACACATATTACATGTATTTGGTATTTAAAACGACAATGAAGCACCGCGCATTTACACAATAGAATTTTTTTTTCGAATTTTTTAAAAAAAATTTTATCGTCTCTGGGTCTTATCTCAATTTTTCTTTTCTTTTTCTTTTTTTTTTTTTTTTTTTTTTTTTTTTTTACAAATGTTTGTTAGTTTCTTTAAATTAAAATGTTAAAATGCACACAAATAACGTTTCAAAATCATGGAGAGATGACCAAGAGATAGTAAATTTTTAGAAGAAACGTGTTTTAAAATGTAACATTTTGTTCCAAATGACTAATCTAGCCAATTTTCAAGTTCTTTTATAATAGCAAATCAAAATACAATATCGGAAAAAATATTTCTCTTTCCTATTTCACAGGAACCCGATATATCAAAAGAAGGCTAAAATTTCATGTGACAGATCAATGAAATTTTCGCTTTTCAAGTGCGCACAGATTCCTGCCGAATGCCAATCAATAGCGCCCTCATCCTTTATGTAAATCACCAAAATGTCTCATTTACCAACACCTTGTTGATAATTTTAACCCCCCCCCCCCATCTTATTTATGTAAACTGATACATTTAAAATATAGAGTACTAATAACAAGATTAAGACTCTCTGCACATAAGTTAATGATTGAACAAGGAAGATATGACAGAATTTCGAGAAATGATAGAATATACCATCTTTGTGAATTAGGGGACATAGAATTTGTTTTAAAATGTCCACATTATAGTACATTAAGACAAAATTCCATAAGAAAGCTTCTACTCCCGAAGACCAAGCGTTTTCAACTTAGTACAATTACTTATTACACAGAATATTAAAGAATTAATTATGTAATTTGGGAATTTATGTCCAGTATGCATAAAAGATAAACATGGTGTTAATATACCCCTTGTACCAATATTTTGGTTTGGGTTAATAAATTGTACTTGAAACGAAGCCTGTTTCGTTAATGCACGAGCATTTTAACTCTCTGATAGCCAATCAACATGTTTTATGAAAAGTGAAAATCCCACGCGTGGACTGAAAACAAGCATGTCATTTCATGGCCGTAGGAACCGGAAAGGGGGGGGGGACACAATAATTTTGCCGATATATAGATTACTATAGTAAACATAGATACTATATGCTTGTGCCCTCTAATTTTAATAAAACCTAGTTTAAAAACAATTACCGGTAAGTCAAAATGGGGCACCTAAAGCCGATCGGGAGTTATAGTTGATGCAATATAAACTGTATTTTTTTTCACAGTAAAATTGTAATTTGCTATTTCAATGTAATTATTAAAGAGAAAAAAATCAATATTTTTGCATTTTATAATTGCGATGGAAAAAAAAATTGATTAAAGCAAAATTACATCGTACAAAATTGAAATCACAGATTTTTTTCTGGTAATATTTCAGTCTTATTAGTCATTAAGGGAATTACGTTCTTCAAAGAAACTTAAAGGGTTTTTATCACGTCTCAAAATTTTTTGATATGACAAAGTTTACATGCTATAAAAATCGTATATTTAAAAATCTTTGCTAGAAAATTCATATTTTTGATGTTTCAGCGATTCAAAGTTTGAATTTCTCAATATGCATATTTTGATCGCCGAAGTTACGCGCCATTGCTCAGACGTCATAGGTGTCAATCCTGGTCAAGCGAAGTACTTACTGTGTACACAAAAGGGCTCATTTGTTGTGTCTATTAAACCTCTTAGAAAATAATTAAGTGATAATTGGATGATTGACAGCTAGTAAGGTATAATTTATGGCGTTAGGATGCACAAACGTGCACAAGAAAGGTTTTAGGAAGAATTTTTTCCCCACATTTCCTGGACTTGTTCGAGAGATGAAAGGGGGCCTTTTTCTGCAAATCGTTTATGCCCAATCGATCACAAATTATTTTTTCTGTCCTATAGAATATTTAAAGCAAAGATAGCTTTAAAAAAATGATAAATGACAAACACTTATTTTTTAAAAGTCGCACAGAATCTAGTAGGAATGT